TTTAAATAAACTATGAATAGCATATACACAAAGACATAACGTGCATTATATTGTTTCCTTATTTTCCCAAGGAAACTTACGCCGGTATCTCTTCACACCATACGTACAAACATTTTAGCACAAAGTGTTATTTTTTTCATTAATTTCTTTCCGTAATCCAAAAAATAAGGGACAAATATATTTTGCTGTGACGATCGGTCCATCTGTCTGTTTGTTTGTGATTTTTTTCTGATTTATCTGTAAGTTGGGAAATCAATTAGCCCTGACTGCAGCCTTTAATTGATTTGAGCTATGGATTTCATATTTCACAGATGTATATAACATAAAAGGACGTATCCTTGGGTTTATTTTTTTTTCTTTATTTTGACTTTCATATGAGAATTTAAACCTTGATCAATAAGCTATGGCTTTAATATTTCACTGGTGTATTCCACGTGTAAAAACTTTTCCTAGGGTACAAGTATTTTTGATTTTGATCCTTATGTTTGACTCACTTTTAGAAAAATTTTCAAAATTTTAATCTTAGCGTAGCTATTACACGGTTAAATCAAGTGATATCATACTCCTCACGCTTATATTTTGATAAGACCTTCTCTTGAGTACAAGCAGTAATGACCTTTAACCTTTAAATTATGGATTTGACCCACTTTTCAAAAACGTTAACTTTCGACGTATTTACTGAATATTTAGTACTAGGTGTTAACTATTTTTCCGGTTCATTTCTTGTGGTAAGAGCTTCTCTTGAATACCAATATTTTCTGTTTATTCTTTATCCTTTCATTTGGACATCAGACTTTGACCTTCTTTTGAAAAACTTTAGTAATAACTTTTGAATTGTTGATTCCGTTACTATGATATTTCACCTGTGTATTCTTTCTGAAATTCTCTTGGGCATCATTAATATTGACTCCTTGACCTTGTCCTGTTTGACCTACTTATGAAAATCTCTGACTTTGTTCTTAAGTGTTAAACTGTTGCTGCTTTTATGGTTTTTATTTTAGAAAGTAGACTCAATGTGAGAAACGTTTCTTGGTACCAAAACTGACCTGCAAACGACTACATTAATCATAAGCCTCTTTGTTACACAAACTTATCTTGAATTTTCATCATTAGCTCCGAAGACTTTTCCTATTGATTTAATAACAAATTTCAAGTTGTAGTCTTTTACAGTTTTGGATATATATAAACAATAGTCTACACACTGCATAATGGAGAAGACTTGTCACACATATTGAATCAATTTGTTTAAAAGATGTAGTCTCATAATTGCAAAGGTATTTGCAAACATATTGATTTATGTTAGCTCGTTATGTTTTATTTGCAAAGACAGTTGCAGTTACAAGATAACATCTTTCAAAAAATAATGAATCAGTGCTTATATTTTTCTAACTCCTTGTCTTGTTTTGCAAATTTGATATTTTTTTCTAACTTACTTGAATTATCTCTAACCTAAATAACAATAAATTTAAATGATATCAAATTTTGCTTTTAACGTTTGTGACGTCAGAACAAAACGCATATTACACATGTTACCTTTTGACCCCCAATCTGCGTTAGGATGTTTTGAAATAAAAAAAATACAAATAAAAAATTACAGTATCGATATAAGTCTGCTATTACGTATATTGTGCATTCAAGAGCAGAAATTTTTCTTCAATGATTTTCTGTAGCAATAGAAGATACTACTCTTCAGAAAATGTGATTTCGTCTTACTTTAAGCTTATGATCTAGTATCATTGAGAATCTAGTATCATTGTGCTTCTTGTCACACCTAAAATTCAAGCTATCTAAATATTTATGGTATAATTAGATTTGTGGAAAGAAATATTCAGTATGCCTCCTTCAACATTTTAGCTTATTCTCTCCATGATATTAAAATAACAATAATTTCAATTTAAGCGGTTTCAAGTAGATTAATGGATAATTAAATGCTCAACCATTAAAAATTAAAAATACTGCATGGATGGAAAAAGATGGGAATATGTTTTTAGAGAAGTATAATCTTAGATGCATTGAACCTCAAAACATGACCATCAAATATACCTATGAATTTTTTTAAATACGTACATCTAAACATCTTTATTACAATGAAACTTGTCTTATCCGACATGCACGGGGAACAGATATTAAATATATTTGTCGGAATAAACAAAGTAAGTATTGTCGCGTGTAAAAATCATTGAGATATGTATAAATGACAAATGAAATTAAATAGCTGAAATCACTGTAAAGAGTATTGCATGTGTCGGATTAAACAGGTTCCACTGTAAAAGGTATAACAATAAAGTAATCGTCATCCCAATTCTCCGCCCAGTTATCTACATTTATCAGTGTTTGGACAAAAACAACGAATTTTTTCTATTTTCAAATTTATTACAACACATATAAAGTATATCTTTTACTGAATATATTCAGTATCGCTTTACAGAGCAGTTCAACACCCTTCTTTTACTGTTTGTTACTTGATGTTAAATATTTAAAACAAAAGAACTCAGCGATAAAAATTAATTTAAAATCGTCTCTTGAAGGTTTCCATAATCCATGGATGATCTTTCGTCTGTTAAAAAAAAATTAAATTAATACTTCACAGATAAATTTAGGATAGCATATTTTTTCTATTAAAAACAACTTTTATAGCTGAAATTTTCAGAGTAATACAAACATAAGAAAAATTGACATTAACATGTAATGATGTTTACCTAGTTCCGTCTGATCATCATGGTGGTCCCCCTCACTGACGTCCCACTCGTTACTGTGGGATTCTATGGATACATCCAAGACCCCGGGGACCATTGACCGTTGAGGAAGGCGTGGTGACAGCGGTTAAACCACCAGCCTCCTCTAATGTCACTGTGAGCAGCACAGTTAGCACTACTCCGCCTGTCATTGTCTCTGTCTGGGGTGGAGAATGACATCCCAGACAGGTCAAAGTTAGAAGAACCCGTGTCAAACATACTGTCTCCTGTAAAGTTAAACAAAGGAATCACAGAGATAATTGATTTATATATATTCTATCTAACTGTCATTAATAATACTGAGGTAATTCTAAGATAGACAGCTTTAGGTGATGGAAAGAGTGATAATATTTATTTTGTTCAGTCCTAGAATCCCCAGTGTCTTAATACTGGCACCTGCAGATTTAGAAAAACAATACATAACAGAGATAATAATTATTAATTTATATCACATTGATTTTGATATTGAAGTACGTCTGAGATACGCAGTTTAAAGTGTTGTTTCCTGGAAAGAGAGATAGAAATAATACAAAACAAAACACTGCAGAATTCATATAACATCCTTTCTAGTGTAACCATAAGCAACAGACATGTTACACTTTTAAGCATGGTATTATTGGAGGAGATGGGGGTGGGTAAAGGTCAGTGAAAATTTAAGAAAACATGACAACATGAAATTTTAATATTTGTTCGATTGTATATTGTTTAACGTCCCTCTTGAGAATTTTTCACTCATATGGAGAATATTTGTTCGAGACGGTGCCTTTAAACATGTATAACATGCAATACTAAGCGAATCATTAATAACGGGATGAGAGATGGTGTATCTTTGAATGTTATAAGATGGAAGATTTCCTATTAAATAAATGTAAATGTGAAACGCGTTGATGTCTTTTGAATTTGACTTTTTAAGCTTTTTTTTAATTTGAATATTTATCCGATCAAATTTTTTTATCATCAAATTTTCTTAAACCTTTGGACATTTCAGATTAATGACACACTGTAGACTTCCTATTCCGTAGTAGTAAAAAATGTTAATCATTGAAAATCAGACTATCATGTTCTGTAAACTTTTTTCAGTATTAGTTAAAATGTAAATTATCAAAAAATTATCAGGATACCTAAGCTGATTAACTATGTTGAATAAATGCTATTATTGGATTTGTTGGTTAAAATAAATAACATAATTTTTCTTGCACATAAAATGTATAATTAGAAATTGTATATACTTGACAATTCGAAATTCAATATCAGCTGAATATGTGAATTGTACCTGCAAATGATATTCTGAAATATTAAACATGTTTAATTAGCGTGGAATCAAAAACGTAAACAGAAAAAAAACACATCCTTTTCTTTTTTCAAGAACTTTATGATTTATCAATACACAAAAGTATTATTTTAATAATATACGTAATTTGAACTTAATTTCAAGGTATGTCACTCGTCAGCTTTTTAGAAAAGTTCACGCTGAACCTCTTACCTAAAAAAAAATCATTAAAATACAATTATTATAACATACTTTAATTCAACAATGTTAATGTTTTAACATTTAACGAAAACACTACTCAAAGAGCTACAAAGAAGTAAGTTTTATAGGAGACTATTTCTTGGGGTTGAAGCTTACGTGTTAGCAGATAATTCTTCAAATCTGCACATTTTTTAAATTGAATATCCTAGAACTTTAGCCTCACAACTTTTACTCGGAGATATGTTCCGTTATGATATAACTGAACTATCTAATATTAATTTGGATACATATTCTTAGAACACGTTTTACACCTTCCTTCAACAAAATTTGCCAAAAATGAAGATATGTCTAATAAGTCAAGATAAAATTTACAGCATTTTTCACCTGAAAATCACATATTTTGACTAATATTTCAAATTTAACATCACTGACCCCAACTTTCTCTTTCATTATTTTGAAGTTCTCGATTCTTGTGACTAATCAGCACAAAAGTGGAAAAAATATTCATTTAAGAAAATGTTTTATTGGCTTTTAATTATTTTTATACACCAAAAATGTTACTTTTTTGGTGCAAAAAGGTCACACAATAATTTACGCGCACTAATTTGCAAGTTTTGTTCAATGATAGATATTATTCAAACTTTTTTACGTAAAAAAAAAATTAAATTTATTGCCTTGGTTACATCTGGTAAAATATGATAAAAGTTAACTCAATTTTTCAAAATTTAGAGTTTGAGTGAAAAAGGTCAACTTAATTGTATCGTAGATCAATAGGATGCACACTGACCCCCTATTTCTTCTGCAATTTTGAGTCACACTATATGAGAACTTATCTAAAATATACTTCTAAAAAATCCTTGATTGCACAAATTTCACGTGCGACATACCTTTAGGAATTAACGTAGATACACTTACCCAAGGTTCCCGTGGCAGGTCCTGCAAGAAAGAGTTGATATTTTCCTGCTTCGTCGGAGACAGAGAATCCGTCGTACATTTCATACAGCGTTGTACTATTCTGTAGAGTTATGGTCACATACAGGGATGAGGTACCTTCTTTGGTTAATTGATGGATAACGTCATTTCCTGAATTAAGATAATGATTTTCTTCTTTTCTTTTTACTCTTTACTTGGTATATCAGTCTTACATGATATGTAAATATCGGAGAACACATATTACCAAGTATAAAGCTCAGATCTTTATTATGCTTCAATCTATTACCTGACACACGTATTTTTTTTTAAATTTTGAAGGAATAAAAGTTCCTATTTGCAAGGAATTTACACTTACCAACCCAGACATCCTGTTCTGAGGCGCCGAAACCATTTTTATATTCCGTCCAGGTCCTGTCAAAGTCCAGGGATCCATTAATTCGCTTTTGGATTGCCTTTAAAGTTAACACGTATAGCAAATCATTGTTTTTAACATTTGAGGGATCAATATGTTATGATATAAGCTAAGAATACTTTTTCAGTCCATATTCTGTTAAACAACAAAACAACAAAACATTGAGTGTGAAATATATTGTATAATGTGGCCTAATGTTAGATTAAACAACAAACCGTCCATCCCCCGCCCATTGTAGTCATATCGCAGTACGCCTGGACAGGACTAGTAATGGTACCATAGGGGTAGATTTTATACACCCCTGAATTAAAGTATCCATCTGATTGAAGATCCTTACAGTCTATTGGAATAACTAAAGCAGAAAAAAACCTCACAATCCATAAAAGACAGCTAAAAAATATTACAGGAACCATACTATGTAATAAATATAACTCATAAATATAACACTGGAATCATGCTATGTATATACAATGTACAGAAATAACTCATAAAATATAATACTGGAATCATACTTTGTATATACAAGAATTAAGTGAGAGGAGTGACGTTATCTCTTAATTAAAGCTAATATATGAACTACAATGTAAATTTTGTTAAGCATGTTTTTATTATGGAAATTGATGTGATAACAAAAAATAAGACAAGGCTATTTCTTAGAACTAATTAATTATATTGAGCAATAAAGATTCATGATATTTATCTAATTTATTGCGAAAAAAACAAAGAAAAATAACAGATATACATACAGACATGTGAGTAGTATCTCCAGCCATCCTCATTAGACACCCCCGACGTGAAGATTTTCTTGTGGGTACGGCATTTCTTCATTTGAGAGTGGAAACCAAAGATCCTACAGTCTCTTTGACAGCGCGCTGCACACTCTATCTCTGAAGTAGAATTGTGTTCTCCTAAAAGTCCTTCATTTGATTTCTTTTCATCCATTTCTACTTTTGCTTTGTATTTCCTCGAAATAATAGTAGACTGGCACACGTCAAAAAAGACCAAAACTAAAATAATTGCACAAAGAGCGCCCATTTCGTAAACTTTTACTTAGAACTACAGGCTTCGTCGTTGGGTACCTGTAGAAATGTGATACGTAGTATACCAAACACACAATATAAATATCAAAATATACATCAGTTACTGAAAATGATTGGATAATAGTTATGTACTCCGCATGTTTCATTCATTTAAATATTGATTTGTTGAATCTGAAATAAACTAGTGATTATTGTAACGGAAACCGTTACAGATGTTCCCCAAACGCTCTCCAAGTCACTTTTCGTACCCTTGTAAAGACAAATAATTCCCCCCATAGAATATTGACAAGGGTTCATTTTTCGACGTCGAAAAATGACCCCATGTCAATATTATACGGCAATAAATGCCCCCGGTCATTATTCGACGTCGAAAATTATCATCACTCTAGAAAACTTGCATAACCAAAGTGACGAAAAATAACCCCCGTAGAATAATGACTTAGGTTAAACGTTTTACAGGGCAATAACAATTTTTAAAAATTGAGCTAAATAGGGTATAGATTGGTAATCTTGATCTCATTAAATTACACAATTACTCCTTCTTTAAGGCTTCTTTAAGGTCAATGCGATGATTCAGAATCTAAAGGAGTAACAGATTTATCGAGCTTAAAGGGCTAGGTAAACATTGTTCTTCTTTTTTCGATTATGGAGAGTAATGGTACTGCCTGAAAAAATGCAGGATTATTATATAACTAGTTTTTTACATCCGTCGAAAAGCGGGAGATGATGTAGGGATAATTATGACCGTCTGTTTCTTACGCTTTGAGTTCACTCTAAAAGATCTTCATTTGATTTCTCATCATTTAGTTCCAGTTTTGCGGGGAATTTACGCTAAAAAATAGTAAACAAAAAAAGACAAAAATGAAATAGATTTCCCAATGAGTGACCATATCATAATATGTATTTGTTGGAAACTTATAAGAATGTGCTATGAAGTAAACCTCACTCCAAGCATGAATATATCAGTACATTTACTAGTGAAAAATGATTGGCTTACTATTTCATAGTCCGTATGTTTCATTCATTAAGGTATTGATTTGTTGAATCATATATGAATTACAACCCCAAACTAGTAATTGTCGTCATGTCACATTAAACACAGACAGGACTAGTAATTGTTGTCATGTCACAGTAAACACAGACAGGACTAGTAATTGTTGTCATCTCACAGTAATCATGGACAGGACCATTAATTGTCGTCATGTCACAGTTAACACAGACACGACCAGTAATTGTCGTCATCTCACAGTACACAGAGACAGGACTAGTAATTGTCGTCATGTCACAGTCAACACAGACAGGACCAGTAATTGTCGTCATGTCACTGTAAACACAAACAAGACCAGTAATTGTTGTCATGTGACAGTTAACACACACAGGACTAGTAATTGTCATCATGCTACAGTAAACACACAGAGGACTCGTAATTGTCATGTCACAGTAAACACAGACAGGACTAGCAATTGTTGTCATGTCACAGTAAACACAGACAGGACCAGTAATTGTCGTCATGTCACAATAAACACTGACAGGACTAGTAATTGTCGTCATGCCACAATAAACACAGAGAGGACTAGTTATTTTCTTCATGTCACAGTAAACACGGACAGGACGAGTAATTGTCGTCATATCACAGTAAACACAGACAGGACTAGTAATTGTTGTCATGTAACCATAAACACAGACAGGACCAGTAATTGTCTTCATGTCAAAGTAAACAGTGACAGGACTAGTAATTGTTGTCATGTCACAGTAAACACAGACAGGACTAGTAATTGTCATCATGTCACAGTAAACACAGAAAAGACTAGTAATTGTCATCTTGTCACAGTAAACACAGACAGGACTAGTAATTGTTGTCATGTCAAAGGAAGCACTGATTGGACTAGTAATTGTCTATATGTCACAGTTAACATGGACAGGACTAGTAATTGTTGTCATGTCACAGTAAACACAGACGGGACTAGTAATTGTCGTCATGTCACAGTAAACATGGAGAGGACTAGTAATTGTCGTCATGTCACAGTAAACACAGACAGGACTAGTAATTGTCGTCATGTCACAGTGAACACACACAGGACTAGTAATTGTCGTCATGTCACAGTAAACACTGACAGGATTAGTAATTGTCGTCATGTCACAGTTAACACGGACAGGACTAGTAATTGTTGTCATATCACAGTTAACATGGAGAGGAACAGTTATAGTTGTCATGTGTCAGTAAACATGGACAGGAGTAGTAATTGTCGTCATGTCACAGTAAACACGGACAGGACTTGTAATTGTCGTCATGTCACTGTAAGCTCATCAGGATATATCGACGAAGGAATGGAAATTACGATTGTTAGTTGACAATATCTCGTCGATATATCTAAATGTCGAGTTGAATATCAAAACAACAATTAAAAAAAAATCAAACATGTACTTATCCGCTTTTGTCTGAAATTCAAACAGATAGTAAAATTTGAAACCTTGCTTTAAATCATCGAATCAAATTAACATTAATAAAATGCACTTGGCAAATCAAATAACAAAGGCACGAGAAGAATAAAGAATTGCAAGAGCACAAAGAAAAGTTTAAATACAATTTTACTAATGTAAGTGGTCTTGTTGTTCAAATTCTTTTTTTTCGGAGTCAGTTCAACGTGTGAAGAAGTCTAGAAAGCTTTTTTTTTGTTTGTTTGTTTGTTTGTTTGTTTGTTTTTTTTTTTTTTGCAAAACTAAATTACGAGGGCTGTTCGGAAATTATTAGACAACTACATTTACTCAATAAAGGACGGAGATTATTTAATGAAAATTCATCAACATTTTATAAAGAATGACTTAAACAATTATGCAAAATTTCTAAAAAAAAAAAAGTATTGGTGAAATGATAAACATGCATGTCTATAGATCCGGAGCAGCATCGCTACGTCATTTAACGTCACGTCAGCCGGAGATGATTTCGCATGAAAAACGTTCGCAAAGCGTTTAATACTTTTCCTTCTTTGTTATTACATATAACTTTACAAAAGTCAAACAGTCTCTTTTCTCAACCTATTCTTTACAAATGTATGGCGTTGCTACCCCAGTGTAAAATTTTCATTTGTGGGAAAGGATGACTTAGAATCATGCAATGCCGAATTATGCAACGCTGGTCAACGATATAAATACCGTAACGATATTATTATCGTATGTCATAACTGATGGTTGTCCGGTGCTTTTGATTTCACTCTGCTTGAATTAATTGTAATATATATATATATATATATATATATATATATATATATATATATATATATATATATATATATATATATATATCAATTTAAAAAAATCAAACACATAATTTTTCTCGTTGTTATTGTTTTAGCAGGTCGTTCTGTCTGGAAAAGAGTTTTACATTGCGATACACACAATTTTAGGTATGCTGGCTGCTCCGCGCTTGACATCAAAATCCATTTTTCGTCCTTTGCAGATTTCTTTACCGCGCTTAAATTTTTAATTATCTCCTTATTTGTGATCAAAATTCTAACAAAGTTACACAACATGAATTTGAAATAAAGCTGAAAAATTATACACATAAACTGAATTATTTTCGCTCTTAATATGGGTTCACGAAGAGTTAGAACGTTGGTGATACATATTTTCAATATCTGATTTCGTGACTGCTCCGGGTACCCCTTCTATTGTCGCATTTATGTAGCATTGTACAGAAAGTATTTTATATTTGTAAAATATTTTTGCTTTTTTGAATTCTAAGTGTATGTCAAACGTTAATGCAAAATTTCACCGAGAGACGTTCATTAGAAAGCAAAATACACACAATGTCTCAATAATTTTCGAACAACCCTCGTAAAAGGTTTATGAGAAAAAGGAATAAGAATCAGAAATCAACTGCATTAAATTTCTTCACGACAGCGTCCAAACCTGCAAAGTATGAAGAGTAAAGGAGTTTTTGGTTAAACAGAAACAGCGTTTATGTTTTGTCATACCTACAATATTCACTAGATCTTTCAACCTTTTGACAAAGGGCCATACAGAAAATTGATTTGACTTCTAAAAACAATTTGGAATTGAATAAAAATATCATGGACGGGTATTTTATTGAAAAGAAAATATTTGAGTGAGATCATTAAGACTAAATCAAATTTTTTTTTGGTTTCTTTCCGAGCACCGATGACATGATTTATTGAACAGCCCACGTACATTCTGAAACGGAAGACTTCAATAAGAAAAGAAACTGTAGAATTATGCCCTTTAAGGTCTTCCGTCGGAAATGGAAGATCTTAATAAACAGTAGAATTACAATAAGGTCTTACGACTGGAAAGGAGACTTTCTCAAGAAACAGAATAAAAACGAACTTCGCTTGGGCAACAGACCTGTAGCCAGTTTTACTAAAGGTCGTAAGTCAAAACGTAGACGTAAGCGTAGACGTAGCCGTAACTTACGCCGATTTTGTGTTTTACTAAATGTCGTATCTTACGATTTGACGTAGATTTACGTGAAAATCTACGTATGCCCTATAGCAGTCTTAGAAAAACACGTAACCTTATAAATATTTCTATAACTTTATAAATATGACTGATACTTTAATCTGAACGTGTCTTTAGGGGATGAAAGTCTTCGTTTTGACTTACGACCTTTAGTAAAACTGGCTACTTATTTTTTCATTAAAACGATGCTCATGTCACAATTTTTATTTACTGTGATTTCTTTTGGAGTTTATCGAATAATAATAACATGTCAACTTGTGCAATATAATTAATGCCCTAATGGACAGACTCTAACTTTTACGTAAATAAATCTAGAGTATTTATAAAACGATTTGTTGTTTTTAAATCTTATAGGCACAAGTGAAGGGGAGGAAGGGTTTACAGAATCAGTTATTAAATTAACATACTGTATCATTGTACAATGTA